GGAACACCTTTAATGAGTTAGTCAGCTGACCAACTCATTCATGAACACAGATCCACCCAGTTACTGTGTACCAGGCAGAAAACAAGATCAGCCCTGTCCTCTAGGAGTTCAGACCAAGAAGGGCATTTTCCCACGTTGCACAGCTGTAAAAACAAGCAGTAAGTAGTATTCCTATTGGGCTTTTGTCCCTAGATTCCCACCATTTCAGCATCAAGAAGCCAGCCTGTGCAAGGGTTAAACTCTTTAAAATTCTCATCCACTGAAGGCTGGCTCTTGTTGCCTAGTGACTGCTGTGGTGGCTTCCTGCTGTCACTCACCTTGTCTCCAGAGTTATCCTCTAGTCTCCCAAGGAAGGTTATGATTGGACAAAGGTGACATCATAGCAGGAGAAGGAATTACATTGCTTTGTCAAGACAGCCACCAATAAGATGACCCAAGAGTTGGTGGCAACGTGTTCAGATTTCTTTGTTTTAGTGTCTTTCACACCGAGCTAACGGACATTCTCTTCCATTTCTTAGAGGGCCGGTGTTGCAGGTGTCGTTGATGGATTTTTGCCTGTAAAAATATTCCTTGACACCGTGTGGATTCTCTTCACACCATTTAATCAATGCTAGCAGCCCAGCCAAAACCTTCCCTGCCAAGGACTTGGCCGACTCTCTCGGGAAGCTGCAGATCACAGGCAGCAAATGACTGCCCTCAGCTCATTAACACACCCCAGGGCGGGGCGGCAGCTCTGCCTTCTGCACAAGGCAACTCTCCTAGGTGCTTATCTGAGAAGTGCCTAAAGCACTTCCCGACGCATCCATCTCAAGGATGGCTTCGGAATCCGACGCTGGGCATGCACAGAAGGCACCAAAAGGAGGAAGTGGAGTAAAAACAGTGATTAAAGCTAAAAGCCTGTCTGTTTTTAAAGTCAAGCGGTTGGAGAAATCTCACAGTTTAGATAACAAACACAGCTCTTTGATTACTTCTGCTATTGACATCGCACACGTTGGCCCCGCTTTGAGAATCAAGCCTCATGCGTGCTTGTTTTATTCTGCAACTTGCACTCCGTACGCTCTTGACTATTTCAACCACTGAAGACACCCTCTGGGCTATTGCAGGGTTGCTTGCAGCCTCATTGTGTTTGGCTGCTGAATTAAACCTTAGGTTTAAATGCTCTCTTTTCTGGGTAAATATTTAGTGTACGGCATCCTCACTGCTGGTGTAATTGGATAATTGCTTCCAATTAATGCTCTATTTCAAAAGCTACAACTCCATATGAAGCTGAGCTGAGCTGCAACAAAGGCAGACCCCCATGGGAAATGAGAGAGAATATGAATATATTCTATATGATCCTGATTATAACATTCACTGATAATGACATGCATGCATCAGCTGAAACCTGGGAGGGCATGATGCCTCTCCAGGAAACTGGCTACAAGGAGCTGAACATCATTCTTTCTTGTTTGAATAACCAGCTTGTCCTTAGAGTGAATTAAAACTGGCCTTAGGGGCATTTATCTGAAAAAGAGAAGTATTTACACAGAACTAAAGCCACAGGAATACGCCTATACTTTGAATTATCAAGCTCTTTCAGGAAAAAAGAAAATTTCATCTTGTTTCACTTTAAGAATTCAGATTGGGAGCTAAATCGATGCCCTGGTGGTTAAGAGCACTACCAGAGGACCCTGGTTCAGTTCCCAGCACTCCCCCAGTTCTCAGCTCACAAAACACCTGTTACCCATCCCATAAGGTGCAGTGCCCTCTTCTGACCTGCAGGGAGCACACACATACACATTTACACATGTAAGCATATACACACACATAAATGATAGAATAAATCTTTACAAAGGTGGAGGACTTGGAGAGATAGCTCAGCAATTGTGTGTACTGCTCTCCCATGGAATGGAAGTCTTGTTCCTCACAACCACCTGTAATTTCAGTGGCAGCGGTCCTGACACCATCTTCTGACCTCTGGGGAACTAACTGCATGTATGGGGTGTGCAGACATACTTGCAGGTAAAACATCCATACACATAAAATAAATCTTAGAAAACTGAAAATAAACAAGACAGAATTCCAGAAAGCTTTCTTCCTTCTGTGGATGTGTGTTCCTTCACCCTCCTGCACCCCCCCCAAGACCCTAACCCTAAACAATTGCGCATCTGCCTTCTGCTGTTACAGAGGACTAGATTTGTGTCTTTAAAAATCCCACCTGTGATGGTTTCAGTGAGAGTGATACTCATATATTCACGTTTGAATACTTGGTCCCCAATTGGTGGAACTGTTTGTGAAGGAGATATTGTGGAATATCCCTTCATACGGTGTGAATATATGTCACTATGGTTGGTTTAATAAACAAGCTGACTGGCCAATAGGGGAACAGGATAAAGTTAGGAAGGAGAGCCCAGACTAGGTGAATGCTGGGAGAAAGAAGGGCAGCCTGGAGTCGACAGCCAGATGGAGAATGAGTCAGACATACAAAATGGGATGGGGTAAAGGCCATGAGCCTCAGGGCATCACATAGATAATAGAAATGGGTTAAGATGTGAGAGCTAGTTAATAACAAGCCTGAGCTACCAGACAAGCATTTGTAATTGAGTCTCAGAGTGGTTATAGAAACTCTGCCTACAAGATATAGCCATGTTGAAGGTGTGCCACTGGGGGGCAGGTTTTACAAAACCGGAGCCATTCCCAGTATGCTCTTGCTCTGCCTCCTACTTACAGATCAAGATGTGAGCTCTCAGCTGTTCCAGCCCTTCATCATCATGGACTCTAACCCTCTGAAACTGTAAATCCCAAATAACACAGCAATAGGAAATTATCCACCACACCATGCAAATGGGATTGTGTATTTTGAGAATGGCTTCGTGCATACTCTTAAAATTATCAATTTAGCTTTTCCTTTTCCTCTCTATCCTACACTGCCCCACTTCCCTGCCCATCATTTTTCTCTTTCCACAATGGGACGTGAAGCAGGGACTCATGCTGGTCAATCACTGCATCCCTGAGCTCTACCCAAGTTTTTTTTTTTTTTTTTTTTTTTTTTTTTTAATGGTCTAACTTTCCCAGGTTGCTCTGAACTCACTCTGTAGCCTGGATAGGACTTTAACTTCTCATCCTGCTGCACTAGCCTCCCAAGCTGAGCTTACAGAACTTTAATACAGCCTGGCTGGTTATTGTTCATGATTAGATTATAGGTTTGGGAAGAACAGACACAAATTCCGTGTACACATCATTATCAATGGTTGCTGCTGTGAATGTGAGGACTGTGGAGGTAGGTCTAGACAGCCTGTCTGAAGCAGACTTGGTTAGAGTTCTGTACTGCAAATATCCCATCCCCACCACACCCTAGCCTCTTGTCCAGCAAAGGCTTTGGGGAAAAGTGATCCAGCAAAACCCACTTAGGAAACTGGAATCTCTGCTTCCGTTTCCCTGGGGTGGAATACTCACACATTTGGAAGTCCTGGACACTTTCTCCTTATCCTCACTGGATTTATTAACTGTTTATATCAAATGAACTCACCAGATAACACTCATTCCCTCCCTCAACCACTGATCTTACAACCTTCTCTTTAGTTTTGCTTTTCCCAGGATGTCATATTGTTGGAATCAGAACACTCAACTGTACAGATTGGTCATATTTTGTTTTTCAAGACTGGGTTTCTCTTAGTTCTGCCTGTCTTAGAATTCACTCTGTAGACTAGGTTGGCCTCAAACCCACTGAGATCCAACCTGCCTCTACCGCCCAAGTGCTGGGACTAACTAAAAGTGCGCACCACCACAGTATGGCCCACACTGGTTTCTCTTACTTAATAAGGTAACATTTGTTTTTTCTCCATGTCTTTTCAGGGCTTATTATTGCACTACAAAATTATGGTAAAAATGTAAACTTTTGCTAATCTGGTCATTTAAAACAGCATTACTCAGTAGCATTAGAAACATTCAGTGTTGAGTAACCAGTCTCCAAAACTTTTCTCAACTTTGCAAACTCAAGCTCTGTGCATATTAATCAATTCCACCCCTCTCTCCAATCTTTTAAGCAACCATTACTACAGGTACATCATCCAGGTGGAATTATTCAGTATTTTGTTATAGCTTGCATGTTCAATTTGGCACAACTCCTCTAAGTTGTAAAGTTGCATTTCCTACCTTAAGAATGTTTAACTGAATATTTTCCACTTTATCCTATTTATTCATCTGTTGCTGTCTTGGCTCTGGTGAATAATGTTGCCAATGTTACCAGTGTTTCAGAGCATTAGTCCTGACTGTTCCAGTCTGGACAGTTGAGTTCTAGATACTTGTCCCAGTCCTCATCAGCGATGAGCAGCAATGAAGGGCACTGTGCTCAGGTTAGGAAAAACAGGGAAAGGGGTTTAATGACATCCCCAGTCTGTCTTCAAGGTGCTAACAGGAACTGAGAGATTTTATAGGAAGGAGCCAAAAGGATGAAGCAGGCATCCCTGGTGGACAATGATTTTGCCTATAACAGTGTTCTGACCCACCATCTTGGGTATGCTTCTGCAAAGGGATCTGCAAAGCTGATATCACCAAAGGGACCAATTCCCATGAAGTGATAACTCTTGCTCTGAGGCCCACAAGAGGGTGATTGCTCCCACCTGGGGGTGATTTGTCCTATCAGGCTTGGTGAGTTCCTGGCCATGAAGATGTTTGTCAAGCAGAACTAAGCAGTTGTAAGAAGGCAGTAAATAAAGAACAAGCAGAGAAGGGAAAAATGGAATTGGTCAGGTTAGTGATGGCCATCTTTCATCTCCATCATGGCTATACCATAACCTTGAGAAATTCCCATTCTTACAAGAAATGTCCACATTGCTTTTCAAAATGGCTATCACCAATTTTGAATTAATTATTCAAGACCTCCAGTTTCCTCATACAATCAATAATTCCACACACACACACACACAATTCTTATAAAAAATAAAATATTGAAAAATGCTTGAAATGGAAAGTTTCAACTACACCACCCCTCAAATAAAAGAACAGAGAAAGCACAAAAAAATGTTACAAAATGGCATTTACTCTGCAACTTTATCATAATGAATTGCATCTCTTTGGTAAAAATAAACTTTATAAACATTTTAATAATCAGAGATTAGATACAAAAAACTAAACATTTGTAAGTTGTTTGCTAAGAGCAAAGACTGGCAACTGAGAAATGGTTCACTTGTGGCTGGTCATCTATTGGCAGTTAAACTCAGAGGTTTTTATGCTACATCAGAAAAAAGGAAGCAATTTAATAACAAATTTTCTTTAATCAAAAAGTATTCTTATACCTTTGTTTAAAAATAAATAAGTTACAATGAATTGGCAATTATACATTTTATACACAATATGGTGGCCACATAATACTTTTTAAATTAAGCACTTTGTTTAATAAAAAAGTACAATTTTGAAAACAAGTTTGACAATGGCACTGGCAGTTAGATGCAAAGAATGTTCTTGCAAAATGGCAGGTATAACATTAAAATACTCTATTTTGCCTTTCAATAAATATTTGACTACATCATTAACACATTGGACTAAACTAATCAAAACTTACACATTTCAAAGAAAAAAAAAAAAAAACAAACCAAAATTCTATGACATGTATGTAAACCGGAAAGCCTCAGAATTTGCTTTAGAAAAATGCTAGTTTTCAAAGTGTTAAGTAGAGTCTTTGATTTTGGCTAATAGTCTTGAGGCTCCATGGAGCACTCCCACCTGTCGTCTGAGTTGTTATGAAAGGTCTCCCAGTCTACAAAGACACAACAATTCCCTTAACACCTGCTCTAGCTTAGAACTGTGCTAATGCGTGTTTAACTGACCATCTAATATGAACCCTTTACAAATGCCTTAGAAAACAGTGGGGGAAAAATACATGTATTGAACTTTACAATATACAAAGGAACCTAGGAGAAGTCATGCTGGCTCTGAGAACAGGCAAGGGTCCCAGATGGGAAGGGAGTGACATGCCCCTTGCTTTTCTACTGATCTAGGCAATGTTTTCATCCTGCATTAAAAAGCAAAAGGTCAACTAATTTAGTAATATATTGCACAAATTTCAGAGATGTATTCAAGGAACACTGATTCTCTTGGCGATGTGGAAAATAAAGATAATAGTGCCAAGACACAGCTTTTACAGGGGACCCATTAAAACTGGAACAGGTTGCAACAAAATACTTATTTTGAAGTAATAAAGTATATACCTTAGCTAAAACAAGTTTAATATGCTGAAACATATATGCTGTCCCTGGGTTTCTAGGTCATGTTTATTACATGAAGTGTGTTTAATTATTGGGAATTTCCAGCTCATGAGGTTCGGAAGGACTTCCTGTCCTGATAGCTTCCAGCTACATCTCCCATCTGAGCACTTCAAGCAGGAGCATGGTCCCCAAGTACATTGCAAGGGTCCAGAATGAAGAAGGCTCTCTCCCCTTGAGATGGATGCCCAGACACAAGAGCACATGGAAAGCGAGACACCAAATTCCATACAAGAACTAAATGCCAAATGTTAGGAAACTCTGTTGTTGGCACACAGGCCAGGTATCATCCTTGCTAATGGCTACAGCTTTAAATAATAGTCCACTCAAGAGGGAAAGAAAAGACTTTATGTTACTGCCTAATAGGCATCCGAAGAGGTCTCTTAGAGCTAAGAACAACTCTTTCCTCCTACTTCAGATCATTGCCTCCACTTACAGAACAGCCAATAGACAGGGACTTAGAGAAACACTTGTGGTAGAAAATTTCAGAGCAGAATGCAATGACCCAATACTGGATACTGGGCAAGGCCATGGTGATTAGCTTCAAAATACTGTGCTATTCAACTGAGCTTTGTAATCTCTTTATGATTTACACCATGGTAAAACCATACTTTTATTTGGTGTTTTAGTCACTGCAGTAAAAGACTAACTTCATTTGGCTGTTTTTTGGAGAGATAATATTTATGAGTTAGAAAAATTTCAAATTCCTCATCTTGCATTATCATTAAAAGAAAAGTGTCAATATTTTAGTAGCACCCATACCATTAATGCGGCTATCCAGATTTAATTACAACTAATAGGGAAACAGAAGTATATCAATGCTGTTATAGCTTAAAGTGTGGTCAATTATGAAACATGTTTTATTTTTTCTTCTCATTTGACAGTTTTGCCCAAATAAAATTAAAAGTAAAAATTAAAACATTTGTCTCTTAAAAAAAAAAAAAAGAAAGAAAGAAAATCCAAGAAACTGCTTTATAGTCATAAAGCATTTGAAATCAGGAAACTGACCTGAGCCTGTGTATGTGTGCATACAGCAAGTGTATATATGCATATAAATTAGAAAAATGCAAAGAAGGTTACTGTCTAGGATACAGGATGTATCATGAAATGAGACTAAACTTTCCCAAAGTTTCTCCCACCACTGTAAAAAAATATATTTGTGAGTTACAGTATTAGTACTTCTGTTCCGAATACGACAGTCAAATTGATATGAAAACTGTGTCATATAAGCAGTTTTGTTTAAATACTTAAAATATCTTAGCCAATGCACTTTTGGAATAGTAATATAAAATCTTTTAGCATGGATTAATGGCACATATAGGTATTACAATGCCTCTCAAAAAGATTTGTGTAAGATCTCATTTTTACACATATTTTGAAATCCCTGAAGATATTGATCTCTACAGTTTCCTATCAAATGTTTTAAATCTAATTTATTACACATATAATTTTAATTTATACAAAGCTTGGAAAGTTTTGTACTCAATGACCTACTTATGTCATAATCTATACTATGTTTAGAAAACAAATACAAGATCCTCTTTCTGTAAAAATGTGTAAAGACGACTGCTATCCCATGACACACTGGCTGTATCCTCCTGCTGGATTTTTACTTAACAAAGACAGCTAGCAGCTAAAACTTAAAACAACAGTTGCAAAGTACGCTGGAAAAGGGTAAAGGCCCCAGTGACGCTATACATTGACTGTGAGGTAAGGACATTTCAAAGATACTATTACAACAGGAATTGGAGACTTGAGATGAGCCACACACCCAAATGGCCTTTCCTAAACCTTAGAGCTGTATTCTCTACAAACCAGAGAACCTTCTAGGCAACTTTCCCATTTATTTATATTTGGCCAAGCTCACGCTGCAACAAAGAATAATTGAAAACAAGAATAAGACAAAAGATGCAAAATTCACCTCTGGATTGACTCAGGAGGGGGCACATGAGAAAGATGCCAGCTTATGCTTAGCTACATGAGTGACAACAGGTAATTACCGAATGGGGAGAAAAATGAAAATACTGAGTTACCAATTCTCATATTTTTCACAAAATTACCAAGAGTTTGATATTTTTTCCCCCTACAAGTTTAAGACAGAGGCTGAGAATTTTCTTATACAAAAGTTTCCAAATCTGAGAGACACTTATTCACAGAAATTATGTCTTGGGGCCTTTGTATCAGATTTACAATTAGGCATGATCCTAAGAACAACTGTTTAACAAAACAAAAACAGAAGAGAAAAGCAACCAACAATTATTTAGGAGGAAACAAGTGGCACTCCTCCCCCACCCACCGTCAAGCTAAAGAGGTCCTCTATGGCTCTGACATCCCTTGTAAAGAGTTAAGTAGAAGAGTATTGCCACACTTTAAAGATACTCCACACTAGTAAGTATTTCTACTTCTTCCGGTGTTTTTGACTTTGTGCCTTTGCAGTACTTATAAGGGAACCAAGGCAAGTACGGATTCCAGCAAGGTGGAGAAGCGACCCAGCTGCTTCTTTGAGTTCCTCATCAATTTCTTGACATGACTGTTTTCGCCTCTTTTTGCCTGACTGTCCTTTCAGAGCGCTGTCTTCATGAGCTTGTGGTGCATAGCCACTGTCTCCAAGAGGATCATCCTCCTCATCAGCATCTGTGTCTTCTTCGCTGTGGAAGCCCTCGCTGCCATCACTTCCCCCATGGCTGCTATTTGGGATGAATTCATACACCTCATCCACAGACGAGAGGGAAGACACGCTGGCCCTGGATGCACAGCGCTGAGCTGCCATGCTGCTGGCACTGTAATTGTGGTCTGCTTTGGGATCGATGCTGGCCACGGGAGAATGGCTCTCCTGCAGCCGCACAGCACCAGGGGCACTGAACGCACTGCTGTAACCCCTTTTCTTCTGCAGTGATGGTTTAAGAGGCAGAGGCTTCTCGCCTATGGGAAACAGAACTCATATCAACAAGTTAGAGGTATTTGACTGCAAAGCAGACCACCCCAACTCTCAATTTCCAGTAGTAAAAGTGTGTTATTTATAGTCCTGTAGGATTTCTCTCATAAATTACTCATCCATAAACTTTAATCTAAAACATTTAAAAACCATTTGAAAGATAGCCTGTCCTTTCCATGGAATATAAAAGTTACTCTTCACTATTTGTAAACTGCTTGACAATTTCCTTGTGGGTATGTACATTGTTCCCAAGTCTATACTGGTCCAAGTAATGCTACACACACACAACACACTCTCTCACAGACATACGTAAACACACACACTTCCTAGGAGGGAAAGTAAGAAATGCAAGAGCTGAGTAAAACAGTAAATCTATTTTAAATTCAAGTATGCTCAAATTAGTGCTGGAGGCCGTAACAACCAACTTACTCCCTAAACTAGAGGCAGGGTCTTAAAACTTACTCTACTTTGCCTCCCCCACGTGTCTTCTGAGATTCACTTTCGCATATCTTGCTGACTTTTCTGCTCTACTGTTCTTAATTTTTTTAACTTTAAAATGTTTTTATGTAAATATTTCTAGTACAATAAACATTTATCACATTCTTTCCCCTCTCCTAACTCCTCTTCACCCACCTATCTACCCAGCCTTAAATTCTTTCTCTCTCTGAAATAATAAAAACAAAATACAAAAACTGAAATCAAAATGAACTACACCAAACAAATCCAGTAAAGGAAAAAAAAAAAAAATTAAAAAAAGTAACAGCAAAGCACTACTCCTGGACATCAGAAGAAACAGCTTTTCCTTTTCCAGCAGATATCAACTGCAAATAGCTTCTCAGCTGGAGGGAACTGTGCCCACTTCCCCTTGGTGCTGGCATTCTGTCTGTTTTGAACTGGTACAGTCAAGCATGTTGCCAGTCTCTGTTAAGTTCATGTCTATATCAATAGTTATCTGAAAACCACTATCCCTGGCTCAGACTCTGCTCTCTTCCCCACAGATCCTGGAGCCTGAGTTCCTAACTAGTGTGGCAGCTGTGGGTCTGGTTTGCTTATTTCTTGACTTTTACAGACATGATATTCATCTTTTATCTATTATACATAGTTAAAAGACTCTCCTAGGATTCTCCATTACTTCTCTTATTTTTTGTGGCCTTTAGGGTCAAATTTTCCCAGGGCCTTGCACATGCTAAGCAAACCTTCCCACACGTGCTCAAGTCCCAGCCTCCTCCCCAGGACCTTGCACATACTAGGTAAGCCTTCCCACACATGCTCAAGTCCCGACCTCTTGTTTACTTCACTGTTTTGAAACAGGATCATATGTATCTCAGGCTGGTCTCAAACTTGCTATCTAGCCAAGGATGACTCTGAAACTCCTGGACTTCTTGCCCCACATCCCAGATGCTGAGATTACAGGAACATAGCACCAATCAAAGAACTTTATAATTAAATCTGTCCATCTTTTCCTTATGGACTTTGCAATTTGTAGCTTAAAACTTTTTTTATTCCAAACTCTAAATATCCTTTAAAGATTATTTTGTGTACGTGTCTTGTGCACTCTGGCCTGTGTATGGAAGTCAGAGGACAACCTCTGAGAATCAGCTCTCCCCACCTACCACACAGGTCCCAGGAACTGCACTGGGATCTGGCTTGGTGGCAAGCACATTTACCCAGAGGCACCCCACCAGCCCAAATGATACGAACCCTTTCCCACAGTGAGTCTGTAGCTCTCATCTTTACCTTCAGTCCCTCAGGCTTACCCGTGAAGAGCATTTCCCCCTCTACTTCTTGGATCAAACAACAATCTTCTATAGCATTACCTACACTTTTTCAAATGGTTATATAAATAGAAATACAACAGAAACTGAGTCATTCACATTAAAACACCATTTAGTGGAAAAGAAGTAATTCTGCTATGACATTTAGCCAACTTGTATTTGAAATCATTAGCTTGAAAGGGTACTTATAAAGTTTATTTTAAAAAGAAAAGGATGATTGCTTACATTCTAAAATCTCTTGCTCTATTGAAGTATTTAAAAGTATCATTGCAGTGGCAGCATCAATATCAGATTCTGAAAATAGATAAGAGTGGTAGCATTAGTGTCAAAAATGTCAGCAGCAAGACTTAGGTGACCTAGCATCATGACATACACCTTCCATCCCAGCATTTAGGAAGCAGAGGCAGATCACTATGAGTTCCAAGCCAACCTGGGGATGGAGAGATGGCTCATTAAAGGCTAAAAGCTCACAGCCCAAACCAAAAGAGCTCTTATCAATAATTTTTGAGCAAGTGTTTTATGTGTATTAATGTTCTACCTACATGAATGACTGTACAACACTTGTATGTCTGATGCCTGTAGAAGCCATTCAAGGCCATCAGATCCTCCTGGATTTTTTTTTTGGAGTGGGGGGGAGACAGAGTGTGGCATTGGCCTGGAACTTGCCAAGTAGGCTAACCTGACTGGTAAGGCAGCCCCAGTAATCCCATCTCTTCCTCCCTAGCACCCAAATCCCATGGATTCTGAGACTCAGGCCCTATCCTCGTAAAAAAGCGCCCTACATACTCTCTTCTCTCCCAGCTCCATCCAGCACTGTATATGTGGACTGTCTGTCTGTAGACAGGAGCCCTCACCATGTCACATAGGTTAGCCTACAAACCCTGGTTCTCTGACTCTGGAGTTGAGGATTAAGGGGTATGCCTCTCTAAACAGGGTTTACAGGGGCACAAGAATCATGAATTCAAGACTAGCCTGGGATACAGTCAGAAATCTTGTCTCAAAGATGCATAAATAGGACCTCGAGACAGCTCAGAAGGTAAAAGCACCATGCTTGCTGCCAAGTCTGACTGTCTGAGTCACATCACAGGACCCCACGTGGTAAGTAAGGGGAGAAGCAACTCCTTCCTGCAAGCTGTGCTCTGACAGTGCCCACGAATACACAGCACATACAAATAAATAAAAATGGTAACCAGTAGATTCTACCCAGATAAACCCACCAGGCTATGACATCTACACAGGGAAGCTTTTCTTCCTTTTGGTGATACTTATCTGACAATAGCTACATGAAGAAAAGAATAAAACAGTACAAACAATGATTATAAACTTTAGCTTAAAATATAAACTTAAAACATGATCTAGATATGAAGCTTTCATCCATTACATCTCAATACTGAAAATGTTTACACCAGAAAGCGTAACAATTTCCTTGCTTTTAGCTTACTTTCTGTTACTATAGACAACGAACCTTGAAGATACTGACTTGCTTACTTCCCAACATGCTGCAAACTCTCTTTAGAGTGGGCAATGTTATTAGGGTCTATTGTTACTTGTTTTGGGAGACAAAGGTCTAAAAATCCCAGCCTGGCCTTGAACTAGTGTTCCTCCCACCTCAACTTCCTGAGTACTGGGGACTGAAGACATGAACCACCAGACCTGGCCTATAGTACTATCTTGGGTTTTGATTGATTGATTGATTTGTGTGTTGGTGTTCTGCCAGCATGTATGTCTGTGTGAGGGTGTCATATCCCCAGCAACTGGAGTTATAGATAGTGGGTGCTGGGAATTGAGCCCAGGTCCTGTGGAAGAGCAGTCAGTGCTCTTAACCATTGAGCCATCGATCTCTCCAGTCCACTACCTTGGGTTTTAATAACAAGTTTATATATATCTCACACGTCAGGAATTAGAGTGCTTGCCTGCAATTCTAGCATTCCAAAGGCAAAGAAGATGAGTACTAGGTCAGTCTGGCCACCCAGAGACCTTGTCTCAAAAAAAATAAACAAAGGGGCTCCCTAAAATCAGGTGGGATTTGTGTCTCAGATATGGGCCCCTCAAATGCAAGTGTTCAAAGATTAGCAGTCCTCCTCAATATTTAGTAAACATCCAGGATTATGGCAGAAATTGTAGAAAACAACCAGAATACACTGTAGTCTCCTTTCTGTTATTCATAGTTAAGCTGACTGCCCTACTGTAAGCCTGACATTATTCCAGACTGAAAATACAACAGGCAAAAGAAGCAAACTGTCACCTCTCAGAACATAGAGAAATAACTAAAACAATCCGACAGTGCTAAGTACTAGGGTGGAAAAAGTAGAAGTAACAATTGGACAAAGAGTTCAGGGAGGCTGGGGAATATGACCTGATAGGCCACTGGTCACAGCAGAGAGGCTGGACAAGACAGGTCTCCAATTCCTGCCTCGAGACTTGAGACAACTTTGACAGAGTTCAACAAGTTTTTGGGGAAAAAAAAAATTCAGCTACTACATACTGTCATACTATGAAATGGGAAAAGGGAAGCAGTTTTCCAAGCGAATGTTCCCAACTTGTGGAGAACAGTTCAAAGAGGGGTAGGTGGGCTGGACTTCAAACCCCACTCATCCCAGCCAAGTGTCCTGGCACAAGTCACAACTTAGCAGGACTACTATTCCATAAATAATTTCTCTTCACAGGAGAAGATCTACTCTTGTTTCCAATTTCACTTAAAAGAAGGGGGAGGGGTGACAGTGAGAGGAAAATTACAGGGATTTTATCGTCTATGAATAAGACACCTAAAATGCTTCTTATGTAAAGTTAGCATTCCTCTTTTAAAAGATTTATTTTTATTTATATATGCACATGTGTGCAATGGTGCCTGCCTGCTAAGGCCAGAGGAGGGTGTTGGATCCTTAGTGCTGGAGTTTCAGGTGATCGTGAGCTATCTGATGGGTGATTGAAACTAAACTTGGCTCCACAAAAAAGCAGCAAGCACTCTGTTAAGAAAAAGGTTTCCCGTTATATTTTGACAATTTTGAAACAATTTAATTTCAACATTAACAGTCCAAAATATGGAATCCAACAACACAATTTAACAGGGATTTTCCCAAAGTAGAATCTTGAATTAAAAAAAAAAAAAAAACAAAAATCCTCTTAGGAGCAACTACAGACAATTTTTATTGGTAGTACAATTAGTCAGTTTTAGTGTTTAATTTAAACAGAATATATTACTATATTTGTTTGTGACAACTGAAACACTTTCTAATGTTATTTTTTCCTTTAGAGTGCTTACACTATTTTAAAGGTGGTGTTTCTGAAAAAGCTGCAATGCCATTAGCTACATTATACAGCAGAATGTGTCGCTCATGATTTCACAACTGCGTCAAATAGCAATCTATCAAAACAGTTCATTTCCTTCCCCTACTCCCTACCCCCTTCTTTGTGTTTTTGTTTGTTTTGAAACAGTCTTACTGTACAACCCAAGCTGCCTTCAATTTTTCAGCAATCCTCCTGCCTCAGCCTTCCAACTGAGATTACAAGTATGAACCACTTTGCCTGGCCACGCTGCTAACTTCTACCTCTTGATTTATGCTTTCTTAATAGTCTTCATCTAGGGAAATTATTAGCAATGGGAGGAGTCCAGGATACCAACTTTAACCCCATGAAAAAGCCAAAGATGTTCCTATTGTCTGATTCTCAGTCCATATGCTTAAAGAAAATGAGAATAATCAAACCATATTTAAATGGCTCTGAGCCAATAATTATAAAAGTTACCTCTTCTATCTAAATGAACACATACACTTTCAAGTTATCCAAAAGGAAAAGCTGCTTTTTAGAATTCTTTAAGCAAGGTAGCAAATTCATTAGAACTACCAATATTTTAATTCATCTGGGTCACTAGTTTACTTTCATTTTAACTTTTAAAAAGATGCCAATCTGCAACCATCAACTTATAATTAGATGTGCACTTAACCTTCAACATCACCATTAATTGCCAAATTACACACTTACATGTAGTGTCCTAAGTGTTTTAGGAAAATAAATAGAATGAGTTCATCTGTTTTCCTCACTGCCTGTGTGTAGCTAAGCAGAGCTTTTCACTAAGCTGTCCCAGTTTTGCTGATATAGATTCTAAAGTTCCCATAACTAACTTCTGCTCTTACGTGTCTAATGGAAGCCTAATATAACAATCAGGAAAGGGATTCTGTGAAGGAACAGATGAATGTTTTAATTCTAGAGCTCAACAGGATGTGTAAATGATTTTGTAAAACAAAACTAGTATTTTAACTTCCATTATTTGAAGTCTTCAGCAGCTTCTTCGGTGCCTCCCAGCTTGTAGGAAGGAGCACGGCCACAAGCTTCTACCCTTGGATCTGAATCCCTCTACACCATTTAACACTTTACATCTCTTCAAAGTTTACTTCCCTCATCTATTTACTTTTTAAAGTGTAGAAACACGTCAAAGGGCTGAATGAGAATGCTGCAGTGAACACTGAAAGCTGCTGTCCCCACGCCCTATGCCTCTGCTTCCCTTTGCCTCGTCCACATATGCATGGCCCTCTCCTAGAGGATGCAGTTACACTCACAGCTATGCATGCCTAGCAACAACCAGACAACTTCCTGACTGTAACTCTTTGCATCCTGCATCAAACTCATCCTCAGAGATTAAGCAACCTTGTTAGCTGTGAGGCTCAGTACCTCAACCATCAGTCCCTTTCTGAAGATGGAATACCTGATGAGTTTGTGCATCATTCTTGCACAGGTTCACTTGTTTCTTTCTCTCGATTGTTTGGGACATGTCTCTGTATTAGACCTGGCTGTGCTGTACTGGAACTCACAGAGATCTGCCTGCCTCTGCCAGGGAGTAAAAGCATGCACCACTATGCCTAGCCTTCATTTATTTATTTGTTTGTTTATTTCTTCCTTTTTTTTTTCTTTTGGTTTGTTTTTCAAGACAGGGTTTCTCTGTGTATCTTTGTAGACCAGGCTGGCCTGGAAATCACAGAGATCCACCTGCCTCTGCCTCCAGAATGTTGAGATCAAAGGTGTGCATTACCACTGTCTGGCTCATTTCTTTCTTAAAAGAGTCTTTCTGCCCAGATTAATGTCATATTCACTAAACCCCCTACCTCTGCATAATCCCAAAGGTCAACCTTCAGTTCACGTATTTGTTTTCTTTTTCTTTTTTAGGGCTTTTTTTTTTCTCCCCCATGTGAAGCAAACATTCCACTACTAAGCAACATCTCTGGAGAAACATTTCTGGGAGCAGGTAGGCCTGAATCTCACATCTACAGATCTCAAGGCACCTTGGACAGTACCAGCACAATGTAGGAATTCAATAATTACTTGTGATGAATGTTTCAACTACTTGGTTATTTTCCCAAACCATTCCAGAAACAATTTAAGGGGATGGGGGAAGAGGGAAGAATGACACACAGATTTTCTCAGTTTATAAATATGCCCTAACCAACCAAATGAACTTACTTAAACTTTTAAAAGTTCTCATGTTTTGACTTCTAAAATTCAGGAGAATTTTGTGTTAAAGTCCACAACAGGCCTAGAACCATTTTCATCTAGAATATCAACCTTCCTCACATAACTCACTGTGGCTAAGGGAGTAGGCCTCTTATTCCTAAGAAGGGATAAAAAGAAGCTGATGGTAGCAAGAGAGGTCTTCACATAAGCAGGCCATCAGTCACAGAAAGGAACAGAAAACAGGCCTGGGACTAGGGACTAGGAAGCAACCAAATCTGAATGCAATGAAATAAGAGCGAAAAGAGATTCTAAGAATTCCCAGAACTCACAGAGCATGTCTCCAAGTCTACACATGAAGTGAGCTCCAGGGTAAGATCCACAAGTTACTCGTGATATAGAAAGACAAAAGTGTCTCAGCAAGGTCTAAAGGGAGAACCCATCTTCTCATTCTGGTAGCAGGAAACAGACTCCAGCTTTCCTAGAAGTAGAGGATCATCAGAAACCCACTCCCATCCACTAAATTTCTCTGCAAAGTTTCCTCTGAGGTTTTTTTCTCCCTCTTCCCCCAAAGCTCAGCTTTGTAAGCTTCAAGAAGCCCAAATATTTGACTCGGTGTGCTGATCTATCAACTGATTATGAGCAGGGAGAAAATCCACTACTTGAGGGTGGAGGAATACATTGCTCAAGTATGGAGCTGGCCAACTCATACAAGGCCCTCAGCACTTTCAGAAAAGCAACAATTCTGAAGCTGCTGGAAGAAAAACTAGGGCAATCAAACACCTGGAGATGTAAGCACAGTTGCAGATTTTCTAAGTAGGACCCCAGTCAAGGAAGAAGACCAACAATCAACAAACAACAACTCTCCAAATTAAACACCTTCTCTCTACACAGCAGATAAGGCAACTGACTCCACGTGAAGACAGCCTATAGGATGGAAGAGGACCTTTCCCAGTTATACTTGACAGAATCATTCCTAGTATATCCAAAGAACTAAAAGAAATTAAGCAACAAACCACCAAATCAGAAAATGAGCCAGGAAGGCTGGGAATCTAGTTCAACTGGCAAAGTATCTGCCTAGCAAGAATGAAGCCCTGGATTTGACCCTCAGAACAAAATACACTTGGCAAGGTAGGACATGTCTGTCATCCCAGTACTTTGGAGGTGGAATGAGAAGGGTCAGAAACAAATGTTGGTAGATGAGGAGAAAGTATAACCATTATTCACTGTTGGTTAAGAGTATAAATTCCTGCAGCTACTATGGAGATCAGTGTGGAAATCCCCCAAGAGACTAAAAAGAGAAATCCGTATGACCCAGCTATCATACCTTGGGTATATAGTCAAAGGACCCCATATTTTACTACTGGGATACCTGTACATCTGTATCATTGCTGCTACATTCACAATAGCAAAGAAACAGAGTCATCCTGGGTATATAGTCAAAGGACTCCATAGTTTACTACTGAGATACGTGTACATCTATGTCCACTGCTGCTGTGTTCCCCATGCCAAAGAAAGAAAATCAGCTAGACATACACCTCCAGCAAATGGATGGACAATGAAAACGGGGTACATATGTACAACTCAGAAATGAAGGAAAACAAAATGATGCAACTTGAGGAAAATGGATGAAAGTGGAAAATACTGATTAAGTGAGGTAACTCAGGCTGAGGAGGATGAAACAGAGCATGTTCACCTGCAAATATGGAGCTTAGCCTGTAATTTCCATTTATGTGTACCTGTGTGAGAATGACATGCACACTGGAAAGGCCCTGGGAGAAGGTAAAGGGGATTTAAGAGAGAAGATGAAGAGAGTAACAAACACGTCATATTGACATAAAAGGTGGAGGAGCAGGAAGAATGTGGTGGCAGCCCTTAAATCTCAGCACTTGGGAGGCAGAAGCTGGCGGGTTTCAATAAGTTTCAGGCCAGCCTGGTTTACAGAGAGTTCCAGGACAGCCAGGGTCACAGAAAGAGATCCTGTCTCGAAAACAAACTACAGCAAAAACAAACAAACAAAAAACCAAAAAGAAGAAAAGGGGAGCACTGGGGACGGAAGAGTTTAAGTGGATGGGGGACAAAGGTAGATAGAAGGGGTAAGGGAAGATTAACCAAAAACCACTAAGGTATGAAAATGTCATAAAAATTAAGAGGAGGCAAAAATATAAAAACTCCTTTAAAAGAAGTCAACTTACTGGTTCAAATTAAAGCCTTTCAGACATAACCTATAAAAATATTCTGAACTACACCCTAATCTAAGGGATGGCAAAATTCTTTAGCAAAGGGCCACGAGCAAAACCAAAGGAGGGACATGTAGTCTCTCCTATAGTGTATTCTACTGCTATGCAGCAGACACTACGTCACAAAACATTACTGTTTTACTTTTTCTTCATTTCATAAATGTAAAGTCATCATGGGCTGCAAAATAATAGGCAAAAATAACTCCAATGACATTATTAAGAAATTAAATGAATTACTATTACTAAGAATATACATAAAGAATGAATTAACACAAAGAGCGATTAAGAAGAACATAAAATGCCTGCCTGCACATGAGTCACTAAAGAAAAACATGCACATATATGTTACACTGAATGTTGGTAGATGTTGACTTTCTCTTTAGAAACATATTCCTTAAGTCTTCTACAATGAGAGGAAATCGTGATTCGGCAGAATGGTCTTCATACATACCTTTCAGAGTTTGCACTTGACTTTGCTTGAGAACAGAGCTCAGGTAGTGCGGCGATAAAGAACCACTAAAAACAGGGAGGGAACACAGACACTTATAGAATCCATTTCTATAGGCCCCAGCCACAAACATATCTACAGTATGTACCACAAAACCACAACAAACAAGGTTACCTTGTTTTCTTTGTTAATAGCATTCAGGTTAGAAAGAGTTGCTAAAGTAGAAAGTGAGCAAGGGTCAAGATAATTAAAAATAATTATTTGGTTATTGTTAAAATATTTATCTTTTAATTTCTTCACTTGTAAAAATAGAAACAATGATATTCTTATATAGTATTTTTGTACCAGTTACATATAATGTACTTTAAATGTTTTGAACAATAAATATCTAAGAATTATTTAAATTTGATATAGTACTAAGAGTTATTAGTTTAACACTAAGAATTTATCAAACAAGTATTTAAGAAAAATTTATATAATAATGCCACAGAGTTAAGTTTCCATATTTTTTAAGTACAAAAAGTAAAACTTTGGGGGGGGGAAGATTTTACTTGTGAGAACAGAAAAAAATCTTTTAAAATGAAATTAAAAGTTTACTTCCTATTCAGTTTTTACATATATCCCATTCTTTTCCCTGAACTTACAAATTATAGGAGGAATATATAAAAACATGTCAGAAGGAATCAACAAAATGTTTTCATTTTACTAAGGTTTTAAAGCCAAGAACTGATAACTCCGATGCTGTTATTTACTCTTGGAAAACAAAACAAAACAAAAAACTGCAAAATTACGTCTAACACCAAAAGTTATGGCAAGCCAAAAGATACTAATGTATATAGCATAAAGATATTGTAAAATGTGACCTGTGAGGGCTTACAAAGGACAGTGCCATCCCCCTACCTTATCTTTAACTAAGAACATAGCTAAACAAGACACATAAATACATGTTAAAATAATTCTTCTAGCTCAAGTATTAATTAAATAGAATATCTCATAAGCATCAATATTAACTAAGAAATCAATGTTCCTTTCCCTTCCTTTCTTTTTTCGTTTTTGAGATGGGGGTCTCACCATGTAGGTTAGGCTGACCTTGAACTCACAAGATAACTGCCTCCCTCTGCTTCCTGAGTTCTGGGAATTAAAGGTATGCAACACTACACCTGGTTCCAACTGATCATTCCTTTAAAATTTTTGCTTCATAAGGATACAGTACCTACTGGTTCTTTTTACAATGACTGATACATACTGATAATAATGTCCAAAGAGGTAATACTACTGACATTTCAACCTCACTTTCCTGGACTACAACTACAATCTTTCATTAGTGATGACTCAAGAATTCAAATGAACTACAATGGGAAATTCTGAATTTGTTGCAGTGAGATTTTATTTTAAATTTCTCATCATGTATGTATTTGGAAATTTATTAATAAGCTCTTAGAATTTTAAAAAATAAATTAAGCATCAAAGACTACCCTTTATCTTAACAAGGCAAATTCCAACACAAATGAATATATATAGTAGAATTTTAAGATTCATAAGGTTTCCTTATGAAAAATAATTAAAACCAGATTTGGAGGTACCATCTAATGTCCAGATTTAACAGAATGAGAAACATAAAGCCAGGGGATGCTGTAAGGAAATACATGATGACAACCTTTTCCAGGAAATGACAACATAAAAAACCTCAAAGCATTATTTTACTTGACAAACATTTACGATTTTAATCTTGAATTTAATTTCTAAATATTAAGTGTTTTAAAGGAGAATTATCTACTTAAAATAAAGAAGGGCAGGCAAGTATGGCAGTCCAACACACAAGTGATTCCTGAATCAAGGAAGGTTAGACAGGACTGCAATGAGTTTAAGGCTGGCTTGGGTTAGTGCAAACTTTATGCTAGCCCAGCTGTGTGGTGGTTTTGGCCTCCATAGGGGGCTTATTGGAAGGAGTGTCACTAGCCTTGGGCTTTTATGTTCCAAAGCCCATTCCAGGCCCAGTCTTTCTCTTTGATAATGTATTAACCCTCAGAAACTATAAGCAAGCCCCAAATTAAATGTTTTCTTTTACAAAGAGTTGCCTTGGTCATGGTGTCTCTTCACAGCAATACAACCAATAACTGAGACAGCATGAGACACATCTCATCACAATGAAGCAAAACACAACAAATAGAAAAAGGAACCTCAAACAGTTTATCAAAGATGGTATAATTACAAACTGTGAATCATCTTGTTTTACAAATTAGGTATGCATTTAATTTATTGTGTAAGTCATTATTAGCATGCAAACAATTAAAATGAATTAGTACTTTTGCAACTGAAGTCATATAATTTATCTAGCTTACTTATACTCTGCTGACTTTATTTCTGAGAATTTATATTCAACCATCCAGCATCTTATTGTTGCAGGACAGTTGTTCATACAGTCATTCCACTGTGGCAATAAATCCATCCTGAATCAAAGGACAAAGTCAGCAACTGGCTAACTGGAATTAATCACAGAGTTCTTAGATTTCAGTCTGCTAAAGAGAACAGGAAGAGGGAAGAAAGGATTTTTGGAGGGTTAGTCAATCAACTCTCCGCTGTCCTTTGATTTACTAGGTCTTTATTTCAATTTCTGACTCCTAAGTTTTTATTATACTGGAACAATTTAGGTATTAGGTACAATCTGGTGCCCCACATTGGGCACTTTGTATAATGAATCTTTCTCTTGTCTCACCAGCCAGCTCCCAAATAACAACATGGAGACGACTTGTTAATTATAAAAGCTCAGCAGATAGCTTAGGCTTGTCTCTAACTAGATCTTATAACCTAAATTAACCCATTTCTATTCATTTATGTGCTGCCACATGGCTCGTGGCTATCACCTCTCCTCCTGCACGTTCTGCTTCCTATGTGTCATCTGGCTGGTGCCTCCCCATTTCTTCTCCCCATGGTTCTGCAAGTCCTGCCTAGCTATTGGCTATTTAGTTTTTTATTAAACAAATCACAATGACCTAGCTTTAAACAGTGTAATCAAACATCTCACAACATTTTATTTTCTAGGAAAAAAAAAAAAAAAAAAAAAGAAATTAACCAAGAGGAAAGAAAATACCTTAGGTTAAAGTTAGTTGTTAACACTTCTCTACAAACAAGAACCTACAACTTTTTTTTCTCCATCTTACACACAACAAACCTAAATCACAAAGAGGGCCCTTACCTTTGTGGAGAGGAAGGTTGCTTCTTCAAGGCCTGCATAAGGTTAGGCTTATATTCTGGATCAACACACCATAAGGACCCCTTTCCATTAACCTAGAAAAAGAGTACAAGAATTGATAGCCTGGAACTTTTATGTACCACAATCTATCAGACTTCTCTGAGTAAACACATGGGGAACCCCCCCCCCCACACCTTTGAGTACATGTCAAGACTGAAGTGAAGGTTGGAGATACAGCACAGTGCTAGAGTGCCTGCTGCTAAATGCTGATCTGCTGCAAAACCCACACCTGCTTCCCCAATCCCCGGAAAGTGGAAGTGAGCCTGCTATACATGACTGACTGCAGTCACTATGAAGTACATAAAACTTGCTCTAACCACAAGGAGAGGCTCAAACTTATTTATACCCAGGTTTATGTAATGCTTAAGCTTATTTATGGGGAGAGACAAGTCATGAGTGTGGGTCAAAGCAGAACTTGCAGGAATCGGCCCTTTCCTTGTACTGAGGGGATCTCAAGACTCAAGAATCAGGTCCCCAGACTCGACCTTCTAAGCTGTCTCACCGATCCTAGGCTTTTTATAATTTACTTATTTCCTTTTCCCATATTCCTTCCTTGTATAAAATCTTGTGTGCTGTAAGGCTTAATGTGATTATCTTCATATTGTTTCCATTTCTTAAATTCTTTGTCACATAATATTAGTCTACATTGAGATCTTTTATCTTTGAATACTGTCTCATTTTTTATAAAATGGCATGATGAAAAAATATTGTTCCACAAGTTTAAAAACCAAGATCTGGGGTTGGAGAGATGGTTTAGCAGTTAACAGACCAAGTCTGAGGCTCACAACCACATATAACTGCAGTTCTGGGGGGATATGCTACCCTTTTTGACCTCTGTTGGTACTCACACACATAATAAGTAATTTTTTAAAAACCCAAGATATTCATTACTGTTGACTGATCATATGAAACTGGACAAATCATGCAATGTGAGGGTCAAGACATTTCACATTTTACACATAAAATAAAACAAAGACCCAAGGTCACTTCAGTGAGTTGTAATGAGATTCAAATAAAGTAATTCATATCCAAGTGACACAGTTCAAAATAAATGAACATTAACTGGTTATTTTGAAATTGGCACAAGGTGTTCATTAAATCCTGGTTGAAGGATTAATAACACCAACAACAGAGCTGGAGAGTGGTGATGAACACCTTTAATCCAGTACCCAGGTGGCAAAGGCAGATGTCTATGAGTTCAAGGCCAGTCTGGTCTACAGAGTGAGTTCCAGGACAGCCAAGGCTACTCTGAAACACTGTCTCAAAAACCTTAAACAACAACAGACCAGTAAGAACAAAAGTACAATTTAACAAAAGTTTAGGTGATAAGCAGTAAGGGATAAAATTAAATCAGGGGGAAAGGCTTCTTATCTATGGAAAAGCCCACCCACTAAGAACAGAACAATTTTGAACACCTTGGCAACTGAGACATTCAGAAGAAGGAAAATCTAGCATGTCTCTTACACAGTCACATAAGGAGGACTGGACAGAGTTTTTAGGAGACACATTTCTCTGGCATTCAGTGACAAAGCACCACAGAAAGGACAGTACGCATTAGGGCCAGTTTTGTGTGACGCAAGTACTTGGGAGGCAGAGGCAGGAGGATTGTCTTAAGTATGAGGCCAACCTGATCTATATAGTGAATTCTGTCCCAGCCAGCACTACATAATTTTTACACACACACACACACACACACACACACACACACACACACACACACACACACAGAGAGAGAGAGAGAGAGAGAGAGAGAGAGAGAGAGGTGTGTGCTCACCCTGTCTCAAAAATTAACAAAAGTAACTAAAAAGCCTAAGCAACTGACAAGTTTTTCTAAGAAATGTTAAGATTTACAAATGTATTTTTAGATTAAGTGATAAAGCTTAAACTTAGATTATTATTCAGTCATTTAGACAAAATGATAGACATTTTGACAATTGGGAATTAAACTGTCAACACACATCTTTTGTTCCAATTAGATTTCATATACACAATTTTTCATACACTGATCAGGACAATTCTGTCAATAAACTACTCATGTTCTACCTTGACATTCCAGGGATATCTCCTACAAACTGGTTTAAGTCTTGTTTTCAAATTCTATAGTAGGAAGCCTGAAAATTGTTTTTCATCACAGTAGAAAAAGCTATTTCCTTGAAGCAGCAAATTGTAAAAAGCTGAGAACTTGCAGTTTCAGTACAGTTTGAAGAAACTGTCTGGCCCATGTTGCCATGGCAGCACTTCCTTCCTTCCACTGGTCTGCTCAGGAGCCACCAGTAACAAGACAGAAACTATCAACTTGCCTATCTATATTTAAGAGTCTGAAAAAAGAATTTTTAACTAAACCTCACTTAAAACTTGATTAATTGATGAAGCACAAATGATAAAAATTATAGAAATACTGTTCTAAAATGAAAATTGTCTATAAGAGATAAAGTGCCTACCATGAGTTTTAAAACTTTGAGATTGGCAGAAAAACCAAGTAAAGGTTTCAGAAAGGAATATATTAAGGCCCAAATTGCAAAAATTCATCTTAATAAAAGTCTTAAATAATAAATTCAGAGAAGATACAATATTACTTCTTTTGAAATGTTGCTCTTGATTTAATACATTTTAAGGATTCTTTGTCTTGTCTAATCTCTTCATGTATCCATAGAACCACCAAATTACAAAACATTAAAACTGTAACTAAGCGGGCAAAATGTAATTCTATGTTTACAGACTAAAATCTCAGTCCTAACATTCACTTACATTTAATAAAAACTGGGAGAAACTAAGAATTGGATGTTGGCTGGGAATGTAACTCAGTGGCAGATATTGCCAAGCATGTGCAATGCCATGAATTTGGTTCTCAGATCCAGAAGAAAAACAGACATACTCCTTTATATCTGATTTTTCTGAAGTGATATAGAGCATACAAAAAGACAAAGTGTCCCTTCTGTGGAGAGAAGGGACATCTCTAGATGACATCCACTCAGGGACCAAATCCAACTTCAACTTTATGGAAGAAAAGACATTCTGAGACACTAACTCAAAAAAGGTTCATAAATTCAAAACAAGCAAAACAAAAGGGCACTGAGGTGTGGTGGTGAAAACTAATTCTAACACTTGAGAGGTGGTGGCAAGAACACCTTAGCTGCATATCAAGTTCCACCGGAGGCCAGACTGAGCTACAGTAAGATCTGCCTCAAGTAAACAGACAAAGTCATAAGCACTCTGCCCCTGGATGTAACAACTCCCCTTAATCTCCAACTATTAAGCACAGTGTTCTACTAGTTTTCAGCAACATCAAGGGAAAGATCTTCTGGGGTTGAAACACTCCATCCTCCAGGGAAACTCAAACAGAAAGCAAACAACACTTTGACCTGGTGAGCTGTCACCTGGGATGGGCTTTGGTGATTCATCTCAACTCCTATAAATACCCCTCACACATTCAAATAAAATCAATGGTTCACCAAGTTGGACTTTGGTGGTATCTGTACTCGTAATGACGTCTCTCTTATCCTTCCTTACTTGTGATACCTTGCAAACTTTTGCTTCAGTGTTACGATTTCTATCTTATTTTTCATGGACAGAATTCTCAAAATTCTACCTAAACTTAAGACAATATTCTTTCCCATTCTCTACCTCTCGCCTCCTTATTTCCTTCTCTAAACATTGCAATGGCTCAGATTAGCAAGTGTGGCAGCATAGACCTGAGACACTAGCACTTAAGGAAACAGGCAGGCACATCAAGAGTTCAAGCCTGGGACTGGAGAGATGGTGCAGAGGTTAAGAGCACTGGCTGCTCTTGCAGTGGACCTAGGTTTAATTCCCAGCACCTCCATGGTGGCTTAGAACCACATTAACTCCAGTTCCAGGTATTTAATGCCTTCTAGCCTCTGCATACTCCTACATGTACATAGTGTGCACATACACATTTATTGACATACACATAAAACAAAACAATATGGGCAGCGGTGGTACACCTGGGAGGCAAAGGCAGGCAGATCTCTGTGAGTTCAGGCCAGCCTGGTCTACACAGTGACTTCAAGGTCATCCATGATTTAAATTTAAATTTTGAAATAGTGCTTCAAAAGTTTAAAAAAGAATAAAAGACAAGGAAATCTTTAATGACTTCCATGTCACCATGGTGATTTCAAAGAGAATAGCTTTCATAGCAAGTTCCTAACTTTAAATACATGGTCCCCAGTGGTGACACTTGTCAGGAAGGATTAGGAATTGTAGCCTGTTGGAGGAAATGTGTCACTGGGGGGGTTGAGGTTTCACAAGCCCAAGCCATTCTCAGTCAGCTCACTCTCTGCCTCATGCTTATGTCTCCCGATGCAAGCTCTCAGCTATCCGGATCTTCAGCACCACACCTGCCTGTCTACTGTCATTCCATACCATGGGGTTATAGACTCACCCTCTGGAACTGTACACCCCTCTATAAACTTTTTCTCCTGTAAATTGTCTTGGTATCTTGTCATAACAATTTAAAAGTGACTACAACAGCCACCCTCAGCTACACATTGAGTCTGAGCCCAGCAGGGCTACATGAAACCCTGTTTCAGAGAGGGGGGGGCAGGAGGGGGGAGGAGGGAGGAAGGGGAGAGAGGGAAGGAGAGAAGGAGGGGCAAGCGAACTCATAAAAATCAAACAAGAAATATATATATATATAATTTCACGGTAGCGCACCATTGAATAAGGTAAAATAGTCATTAAAATTTCAGGGAATAAGAGCCTGAGGATCTTTTTGCCTACCTTTTCGACCATTCACCTACAGTTAAAGTTAGTTGAATCCTGGCCCCTTACCAATCACTGCATGAGGCAAGGGATAAATAGGTAGATAACTGTGATTACTTAGTAATTATAGCACTAAGTTTTTTTGTACATAGCTAAAATATGTGAAGGGACTCTCACTAGCCCGGGCATGGCAAACATGGCTCTGGCAGGCCTTACCCTTCTCCCCAGTTCCCTTTGCCTTGGTCAACTTTTAGATTACATTCCTAAAGCTAACCTTACTAGGCCTCTTCTTCCTCCTGAGACTGACTACCTAGCAAAGTATTGAAGCCCCTCAATCAAAAGCCCCCATTTCACTGCCCTAACTGACATGCCCAATTAAAATTAAACAGCTCACCCTAACTCAGAGTTTACTCCTTTACCTTTATAAACTGCCATTTTCCTATGGGACATGTCTGTCTCCTCTCTATCCAGAGGCAGTCTTTTGTCCTCCAGGACAAATATTCCTACCCCCTCTCCCTGTTCTATTCCTCCTCTCCTCAATCCCCTATCTCCTGTCTTTGTCTTTTAATTCCTGCCCTTTGTTCCTCTGGGGCAAATAAATCTTTGTGCTGAGAAGTTGGTCCCTTCAATATGTATACAGAAGCAACAAACAAAAGGTAACAGAAGCCCAGATCAGAGACACCAAAGCAGCAAGTGCCCAAGGGGGCCTTCTTTTTTGAGACAGGATTTCTCTGTGGTTTTGGAGGCTGTCCTGCAACTAGGTTTTATAGACCAGGCTGGTCTTGAAGAGTGCCGGCAACTGAGCTTTAAGGAAGTGGTTTCTCCATGGAGAATAGGAAAATACCCTATAGATGGGATAAGTTAAAGATACACTGGAATAACTTGTGTGTGTGTGTGTATGTATGTATGTATATATATATATATATATATATGTGTGTGTGTGTGTCTATGTGTGTATGTATGTTGGGGGGACAAAAGGGGGAGTAAATTTTTAAAAAGCATCAAAAATAGAGATCAAGTTGAGAGAACCATGAACTATTCTAAGATTTTATTTTTACTATTTATTTATTTGTATAAGTGTGGCTATGCCACGTGTATGTCTGCTTACACAGGCTAGAAGCTGGCATTGGCTCTCCTGGAGCTGGAATTACTGGTCATTGTGAGCTGCCTCATGTGAATGCTGGGAATCAAACTCGGGTTCTCTAGAAGAGCACAAATGTTCTTAATGACTCAGCAATCTCAACAGCCCTGTGAGATTTAATGTCCCATAATTTACTGTGGTTTATGGTTTGCTCTTCAAAGCCATCTGAAGTGACAATAGGCTACTGTAAGGCTAACTTCATGAAGTTACATATGTGTGTGGACCCTTGGAACACCTGATTCAAATTATCCATACTGTCCTGTGCCTCCTACCCCAGTGTATGTGTATGAATGTGTGTGTGTATTATGGATACATATACAAAACGCTAAACTAATAAGACAACAATGAGAAAAAGTAAAAAAAAGTTTCAAAGTTAATGGTTGCCAGGCAGTGGTGTGGTGGTGCACACCTTTAATTCCATTACTTGGGATGCAGAGACAGGCAGATCTAAGTAAGTTCTAGTTCAGCCAGTACTACACAGAAACCCAGTCTTTATACAACTCCCACCCCCACCCTCCAAAAAAGTTAATGGTAAAGAGAATGATTTCAGTCCAAGTATTGACATGGTATTACATATTATGCAAATCCAAGAAAAATAAATTTCTAAAGCTATCCTTATCATTTGTATACACAACATATGTGAAGTGTATACACACACACACACACACGAACATACACACACACACGAACATACACACATATATGTACATTTTAACTGATGAGAAATGAAGACCTGAACTAGGATCCCAAAATTTATAGGTATTTTTGCAGATCATGGTCAAATCTATCTAGGTCTCATTCCCCTGGTTATGATAGCAAATAAATCCCTTTCAAATTTTATATCTAAGTAACTAGGCATCATAAAGAACAAACATCAAGCTTAGAATCTTGGATCTGAGAAGAGGGAGGCATAAAGTCCAACCCATATAAACTTTATCAGACATAGATTAAACAATTAGTTGCAAATGAGGTCTGGCTTTTAAAGACCAATTTGAGAGTCATTAGCATCCAGATGCTAAGTGGAGCCCTGGGGATGGATGATACTACACAAGGAAACACTGAGAAAGACAACAGTGAAAAAAACCTTTTTAAAAATGTTTAAAAAGTTAATGGTAAAGAAGAAAACCAATCCAGGCAAGTATGAACACAATATTACATAGTCTGTAAATCAAGGGAAATGAAATTCCTAAAGCTACTCTTACCTGCAATACAATGTCAAAACAAGTCAGCAGACTCAGACACAAGGTAGGTATTAGACTGCTCAACCTGTGTCTTTATGGAAACTATCCCCACGCAGTACTAAGGGAGTCCCGACATGTTTAAGACCACAATGCACATGTCACAAATGATCATACCCTCGTTTGGACCTCAGGACTGAAGCCTAAGTAACTCATTATGATGGTCACTAGCCTTTACATTCATTGTTCTTTTCCACCCTGCCTGCCTACATTTCTAACAGAATAGACTGTTGCCTTTATCCACCTTCTATGCACTGCCTACTATGGAAAACCTATTTTTTTAAGCATATTTAAAAAGAAAATTTAAAAAATACAACAGAGAAAAACCAAATTAAAAAGAATTCCTGTCATATTCTTTAATGTAAAGGAGCTACACTTTCATTATGAGATAGACTGTTCTACTGAATAAAAAGGATATCTGTATGTATGTATACATACATATATATAGATATAGTTGTAGGAATGGGGGGGGGGAATCCACTCCATGGGAACAGCAAGATGGATCAGTGGTTAAAAGCATGCATGCATTGACCCTTACAGAGAACCCAAGTAAGTACGTTCAGTTCCTAGCACCCACATTAGGAGGGAGAGGCAGGTGGATCTCTGTAAGTTTGAGGCCAGCCTGGTCCACAGAGTGAGTTCCAAGACAGTCAGGGCTGTTATACAGAGAAACCTGCCTTGAAAGTAACAGATTAGATAGATAGATAGATAGATAGATAGATAGATAGATAGATAGATAGATAGATAGAAAGAATCTTTTTAAACATGAGACACACCCTCCTTCAAAAAAGAAAGCAACAATTTATGTGGTCTAGAGACAGTGCATTGGATTGCTTGCCTAAAACAGAAGTTCCAACGGCTGGTCAGGGTCAGGAGTACATAATGGGGTGAGGAAGGAGCATTAGGAAGAATAATCCAGGTGCTGAAGGCAGACTGAATGTAACTCTAGTAAGTTTCCCTCAACACTAAAGAGTTTTAAAGCATAAATTAAAGCAAACGATGAGCATAATTAACCTCAAGCTAATCGGACTTGGCTTTGCTTCCCTTGGCTTCCCAGCATCTTATGGACCTGAACTAATTCCCCCACCACACAACAATGTTTACATAAACACTGACCTTGCCATGGCTCCTTTCGACTTTCTGAAAACATTTATTCAGGGATAGATTATGCCGAACAGAATTCTTCCAGCCGGTGGGTGCGGTGGCAAAATATGGGAAGCGGTCCAGAATCCAGCTATAAATTTCTTTGACAGGCAAACATTTATTTGGAGAGTGTTCAATAGCCATATAAATGAGGAGACTAAAGGAGTATGGGGGCTTTGAAGTTGCTGACTTTTTTTCTGGGTTCTGGTAGCAGGATGGTCCAAAGGCAGGAATATCATCTCCCTCTATGTCATACAACGGACTAACCATTGGAAGACCTTCACTTCCAAGCCTGAAGTTTGTCAGAAGATTACTGCTTTCATGAAGCCAGTTCAAATTTGTTAGTTCATCATCTGCTGAGTCACTGCCCACTAGGGTGGCCTTTGGCCTTGCAGCATCCCCACCTTCAGGCAAGCTTCCCATTTTGTAAATCTGACTTAGTCCTGCAACCTTCTCAGCTCCCGGAGTCTCAGCTCTCTTATCTGGAGTCATTCCAATTACTGGACCCATTTACTCATATAGTTCTGCAATAAAAACAAAACAAAGAGAGAAAGTTATCAATTAAAATAAATCTTAAACTCTGAAAAAAGCAAATAAACATTTACACATACACATCCAAATCAAGACAAATCTGCAACTGACTATGCCACACAAACAACACACACACACACACACACACACACACACACACACACATATATTATTTGGGATTTTCATTTATTTGTTTACTTATTTTTGAGACTGGGTCTCTCTTTGTGGTCCTGGCTATCCTGCAATTCACTAAGTAGACTAGGCTGGCCTCAAACTCAGAGATCCTCCTGCCTCTGCCTCCTATGTACTAGGAATAAAGATATGCACCACCATGTTATTTGAAACAATAGATTATAATGAAAAAATTAAATATAGCGTAAGTAGTAAAGTTTCCAGTCCACAATAACCAGTAGTAGCTATTATTAAACCTAACGGGGCTGGTGAGACAGCTTGGTAGATAAGAGTACTTAACACTAAGCCTGACTGAACCCGAGTTCAACTCTGAGACCCAACCCATCACACCGAAGAGAACAAATGCCTGTAAGCTGACTTTGGACCTCCACAGGCATGTAGTGGCAAGCATGCAGCTGTTCCAATACATAAATGAACAGTCTATATCATGAGTTTATAATTTATCCTAAGTATGTATATTTTACTGTAACAGTCCATACACACTGATTAATCTTTAAAACATTCAAATTTGATACACTGTTTAAACAATAATGCCAAGTAAATCTCCAAATCTTAAATATTTACCATAAAAAATAAATCATTTCTAGGACTAGAGAGATGTCTTACTATAAGAGCACTTGTTGCTCTTTCAGAGGACCTGGGTGAAATTCCCAGCACTCACATGGCAGCTCACAATCATCATAACTCCAATGCTCTCTTCTAATTTCCGTGGGTACAAGGTACGTGGCATGTACGTAGGCACGCGCACATGCACACACACACACACACACACACACACACACAAGCAAGCAAAACATTTGTACATGTAAAAAAATTTAAAGTAAACTATTTTTGTTTTTATATCATACTAAAGAAAATATTTTTAATTGACAATCATTACATAACTTATTTATATATACATTAAAACAGGCTAATTAGCTGAGCATGGTGGTATATCCCTATATCTCACCATTCAGGAGGTAGGGGTAAGACAGTCAGGTTCAAGGACAACTTGGTCTACATAGTAAGTTCTAGATCAACCAGTATGGTAGTTGGAATGTAAAAAAACCCCTTAAGGTCACATGGAGTGGCACTACTGGGGCTTTGCTGGAGAATGTATGGTCTTGTGGAGGTGAGCTTTGGCGTCACATATATGCTAAAGCCACAACCAGTATCTCAGACCACTTCCTGTTGCCTGCACAAGATGTGGAGCTCTCAGCTACTTCTCCAGCACCATGCCTGCCTGCACACCACCATGTCCCACCATGATAATGGACTGAACCTCTGAATTGTAAGTGAGCCACCCCAATTAAATGTTTTCCATTATAAGATTTGCTATGGTCACTAAGACAGCCAGGACTATGTAATAAAACCCTGCCACAAAACACACAAACACACACATACAACAGAAATAAGATAAACCACCTCACATACTTTATCTCTCTCCACGGTAAGAAATTTAACACTACTGTTTTAGCAATTGAGACTTCTTTTGGGACATGTCTTTATTAACTACAATCACAATGCTGCATGACAGAGAATGAGAACCTACTCTTCCCATGTAGACAGCAACTCTGGACCCTCTAATATCCCTGTCCCTTCCCCTGCTAAAATACCTGGTAACCATCACTTTTCCTTCTACAAGTTCAACAAAATAACATTTCTTAGTCCCTAAATTCACTACGTAAATATTTGCTGTCTTAAAAAAAAAAAAAAAAAAGAAGAAGAAGAAATGCAGTATTTTAACTCTGCATTCATTCCAAACCCTCAGCATGTTCCACCACTGTCCCATAGGAAGTTTGAACTGCCACCATGTTAATAATGAAGCAGCTCCTCAACTATCCTCTGCATTTCTAGTTTCTCAAATGATTTTTTGTTTTGCTTTTCAAATATACTGAAAAAATTACTCCTCCGGGAGGATAATTGACCAGAGGGAAGTAAAAGTACTGTTTAATCCATTTTCAGTGTGCATAAGGATGTCTTATTTCTAAAGCCAATGAAAAGCCCATTACCTATTTGACTGGCTCATGCTTGGTTAACTGAAGTGGGGAAGAGTACCTGCAGAACTCATTCTGCTTAGAGCAGTCAATGGGCTACTTGGAGAACTACAGAACTTGTCTATTTGAATCTGGGGAGCTACTACTAAATTCCTCCATTAGTGATAACACCAGCCAATATTTTTGGGGCCAGACATTATACTAATGCATACTACATGTCAGCTAGCCATCAAATTAACACTGAGACAACTGTGAACTTATTTTATAGAGGAGGAAAAGGGCTAGGGCTAAGCATTCTGGCTATTATGGGAAAACAGTGAACAGCCATGCAGGCAAACTCAGAACTAAAACTCCAATCACAATGTACCATGCTAACAGTATGTATATAAACATCACTTGTGGGTATCAATCCCCTCACCCTGGTATCTAGTTTGTCTTTCCTACTCACTCAAGAGTCCAACTTCAATACAACTCACAGAGACAAACTTGGATAGATAGAGATAAGGGGAAGTCTACAAAAACCTCAAATAACAGCACTAAATGAACCCTGTTCATTCAAGGTCAGGACATGCAGCTTCAACCTGCTGAGTGCGGGAATTCATAGGCCTATCTATGCCTGTGGTAACTAACTCCTGCTTATAAGGAGCTGGGGATCCAGGTCAGAGCTTTGTGTAACCTAGGCAAGACTCCACACCAAGTTAGTCACTTCCCCGAGTATTTGTAGCCTGGACTTTCACATTAACACTCCTCTCTCATTCTTAAAACCATAGCAATGAACAAGATAAAATCAACTTACGATTTCATTTACAAAGAAAATTCTAAAAGAAAAATAGTAAATCAGGTCATACATTTCTACTTAATATTTAAACTTCAAGTCTGAGAGTTTAAATCCTGTTGTAAATTACATCACTTGAGCCACAGGATCGTATGAACAGGCACTGTAAAGACACCTAAAATTACTCTTTCAAGAAGCCTATCATGTTTTGGGATAGTTTACTGCCTTTTCCTCACCCCTCTGGGTTAACATTTAAAGAACTTATCAAACTCAGGGGGTACAAGTTATGACTCCCCATATCTGATCTCCCTGAAAACCTTTCCTCTATCTGAGAGTGGAGTTCGTCCATCAAGCAGAAAAAGAACTCCTGGATGCTGTTAACAGTGCTGGGCTGGAGCCTCGCTGCTACAGGTAACAAGTACATTATTAATGCAGGTACTCAAAAATCAAAATCTCTTGCTAAATATTTCAGAAACTAATTTAGATGAGGCAAGTATGGTTTTCTTTCAAAGCACGTTCATAAAAATTCCTTTATTAGGTCTTTTTTTGGGGTCATAAACATGATGTCTGGTGTTCACACTATATTGTGGCATGTGTGTCCCTCAAAGCTGTTACAATGCTGCCATACTACCACACAGATACAAATTTTAAAAGATCATTCATTATCTTGGAATGGAGTATAAATGGCAGCAAATAGCATTATAGTAAACACATTGCAAGCAAAGCAGAAAAGGCAAGGATTGACACTGAAGACTAGTATTTTTCTTATTTTCAAGGAAAAACAACTGTTTTAAACTATCATTTAGAGTACTCACAACCACTCTCTACCCAAGCACTAAATCTGCCACAGTATATGTTAAGTGTCAACAGCAAAAATAGGTGAGAAAATATTCAACTTTATTAGCAATTGAGGGAATGAAAGCAATGAATGACGCTAAACATTACATGGCAGTCCATGGTATATACAAACATGGACATTAGTAATTTAAAAAACCAACACTTATTTCTGCCCAAAAATATATAAAATTCTATCATGAACAACTATAACCCCTCTACAACCTTCCCTCTTCCTCCTCCCCCCACAAATATCTAAAGAATCATTAAAGATTGGAAAACTACTAACTTGTGTATCCTGCAATAAAGATATTGTGAAGTTTTCTATTCCGTCTACCAATCAGTAGCCACTAAAATTGAATGTCTAAAACAATAACTGAAATAAACAAAAGAACTTGTAAAACCTGGAGGGGAGTATACTTTAAAAGCTGTTTATGTTACAGACTTGCTATTGGCCTTTGTTAGTGTTTCCAGCTTTTCTTTAATGTACTTATCTTTATTGTTTAAACTTAAGCTCAAAGTTCTTAAGGAAAATGCTGTGCTAGATTATTTTTAGTTTTAGTAGTTATGTTACATACAGTTCATGGACTTATCAGAAAACTCAAGGACAAAACAAAAGCTACCTCTTACATGATTAGACTGGCCTATTTTATCACAAAGTTTTTTCAATAAGATGAATTAGTTCATCAAGTAATAGATTTTTTTTTTCTTTTTTTGTTTTGAAAGTATAAAAAGAGTCTCTAAGTATGCCTCTCCCTCAGAATCAGTGACACCCACTGGGCATGGCAGCCATGACCACAGGACTTCCCAGAAGAGTGCGGCAATAACTGTTTCCCCATCTTCCTCACAATGCAACATGGAACTTCCTGACTCTTCCAGTCACGGCATTTATGTCTGGATTCTGACGGTGTATCACTCAACAGAACCCTTCTTCTGATTGCTGGGATTTAAGCAATTTAAAATAATTTAAATCTTGGAATTTCAGTATTTTGTTATTAATGTCTTAACAGCTCTGCCCAATGTCAACATTCTCAGGCATAAAAGGATCTTAGAAGCAGGCTGGAAAGACAGCTCAGTGGTGAAGAACACTTGCTGTTTTTTCAGAAGACCAGGTTCAGTTCCTAGAACACACATGGTGGCTCACAACCTCCCGTAGCTCCAGTTGCAGGTACACACGTAGCACATAAAGACAATCTAGGACATTTAGAAAAAAAAA